TAAAAGACGAGGACCCGATATTTTGGAGAAAATTGTTTCGATCTGTATCGCTTCTTGTAAAGAGTATCACGAGTAGGAAAGAGAACATGTCAAGACCACATAGTTGGCAGTCTGAGACATAATTGAGAAGCGCTTTGACCACTTCAGAATAAGGCTGTGGAGTACTTCATAAGGACGGTTCGAAGTCGTTAGTTTTGGAGCACCTACGATTTCCAGTCAGGCAGATGTCCGTAAAATGCGGTTCGTCGTAGGGACTAAGGTGACTGGAAGGGTCTATCAACATACAGGTAATAGCGAACATGCTATTAGCAATCCTAATTCAGAACGATATGGTGCTTACACTTCGCATTTCCCCGAATTTTCTAGCCTGCGCAAAACTACAAACCTCTAGGTATGTTGTCACAGCTCACAGAGCATGCTGCTCCCTGTTCAGAGGTAGAACCACAATGGCGGATAAACTACTATACTCAGCCAAACTAGTCCTTAAACAAGTATTGTCGTAGTGGAACACACTACCAGATAGGATTGGAACACAAATGTGGCCGTACATTGCGCTATTGATTCAGGAACCTCACACAGCATCAAATAGCTAGCAGCAGAACTATATGAAAATAGCTAGAATGGTCATTTTTTGGATAATTTTTCGTCGCGAACTACTCATTTTACAGAACTGGTATAGAACAGTTGAAACACAACAACAACAACGTAATTAATAAAACCTACTTACAATTTCTTAGTCATATGTGCTTTTTGAAATTCGTTATCGCGCGTGGTTAGAGCGTGGTACAGTAGTACAAATAAATAATTACTTCACGTTCTTACAGATCGATATGAACTGTGTAGTTCTCTGATTTCAAAGTAGGTCGCACCGCACCCTATTGTTAAGTAACAAAATGCCACTTCTATGCGCTCATCGCGACGCGGAGTAGACGGGAGACATCTCTTGCGTCGATCGAACTAGCAATAAACTATACTTTTGGATTTGTATTCAAACACTTACGAAGATGACCTTGCGATCATACTGAATGCCCAGGAAACTGCCCCGGTGAAGAAAAGGGTCTAGATTACCAAGTAAGACTCTACAGTCTGTCCTCTCAAAACGTCAACATAAAAACCTCTCCTACGCAGGCCTGCTGTCATTACGGCTAGTATGAACGGTTCTCGCCGTGGGTGTTTCGAACGGCAACAGACCTTTTTTTCAGAATTAAGCAACTAAGAAAGTGGTACACAATGCAGTTAGCGGTGATACTTGTACTTGGTACGACTGTGCTCAGGCCTGATCCAATTGACCCCAATGAGGTCTCGGATCATTCCTCCCCTCACGTGTGATGTCCAGCGGTAGCAGATTCGAAAAAAGCTCGACTCACTGTCTTCTACAGTGTCGGAGACCAAAGACCGACCAGCCAAGAAGGCTTCCGTGTCAACAGTGAAGACCGTCGCAACAATGTAATGAAGTTTACGTCGTAAGAGTTTTCGCACCTGGAATAGTCTCGCTTCTCGACGACAAGTGCGAAGATGCCATTGCTTTAATTGGCAGAAATGACCAAATTTATCCACGCTTTTCCAATCGTCTTATGCAGTCAAAACTATCTTTTTGTTGTAAAACCTTTGTATCGTATCTACAATTTATCCCTGACAGCATAGGTCGGAAAGAAATAAAACTCTGCTATAGAGGACGAAAACTTTATTTGCTGATTATCTAAAGTTGAGAAAGTGCTCAAAGTGATCACAACAGCGCTTGATATTGAAGATATAACGTCTCAAACAGATTACTCAGGGCAAAGAGCTTGCTACTAACTTGCGGATAATTTGGTAGAGCTTCCGAGTGTCACCAACGTCTAAGGCATGCTCCACAGAGGTAGATATTTCGGCCCAATATATATTTCGGTCATCCCTAGTCGAGTTTGCTGTCATCTATAATAGGCGGAAGAAGCTGGATCGAGATGCCTGGGTAGACAACTATAGGGCTCTTCAGCTAATTCAGTCCTGCAGCGTCACTGAGTGAATTCAAGATTCTTCGCATGACTTCAGTGATGACCCTTAGCCACTGCCTCCTCAGTCGTCTCGGGTCGTTATACAGAACCAGATTCATGTGCTCATGGATTCGTTAGTGCTAGATTGTCGAAGATTTGCTACATAAATGCGTCTCGCACATGGAATTTACGGCGAAGCTGAGAGGTGAACTTTCAGGCATGTGCGAACGGGAACATATTCAAACGCATGGACATTACCATCTTCGACACCGCGCATAGATCTGTCATCACGAGTTCAGGTGCGGAACCTAAGACTAACTGGAATACAGTCCCTCGGACCAGCCGTTGTTGAAGTACCAGGTCAGCAGATGAATTTGGCGATACTGTTAGCACGTGTTGGTGACAGTCGATTCTGATGAGCAAAAGTTCGCATTCTTTCACATTTGTCCAATTGAGAGCCGAAGCCAAAACGTGAGTGCATGAAGAATCGCAAGGTCTATTATGGCCACTCCAGCTCCCGGCAACAATCAACAGGGCTCGCCGAGGGTGT